TGGAAGTGGATAGGAACACACATTGCGGAAAGCACCTAACTGTGTCACGAGACAAGCCCTCACATGGAAAACCCTCAAGGCGAAAAGGGAAAAGAGGAAGCCAAGGAACACATTACGCCGAGAAATAGAGAAAGATATGAGAGGAATGAACAAACATTGGACAGAACTGGAGAGGGAAGCCCATGACAGAGTTGGTTGGAGAATGCTGCTGGTGGGCGGCCTATGCTCGATTTGGGGTAACATGCGTAAATAAGTAAGTAAGTAAGTACATCATACAAATAAACTTATGGTTTCGTGCAGTTTCCATTATATTTTAAACTTTCACTACAGTCACTGATTAATCAATTAATTTATCTCTTAATGAATTTCTAACAATATTATCTTTTTTTTTTTTAAATCTCATTTTAAATTTGAAAGTCTACACTGGATAAATGATCTACCTGGTTTATTAAAACAAGTAAATATATTTTAATATGATATACATATTTTAGTTTTATGTTTTAATCTTCAATGTTTTTTACTACATTCAGTTCTATTTTATAAAAAAATTAGCTTGTAACCTTAATTGATTGTTTAAAAAGGTTTTGTGGAGACGGATTTGATTTCCGATTAGTATTCACCACAAACATGAATCTCATTTAGGGTGTCACTGAAAACCAAGGAGCAATAAACACATTCTCGAATAGAAAATTCCATGCAATTAACTCTTACACATTAAAATCATCAATCAATCATTGTTAGACCACCATTAGAAACGTGGAAGCACTGGATGACCGTTTCGTCCTGGTATGGGACTCACCAGCAGTGCTCAACCACAACTGCTGCTACTCGCAGGATTTGAACCCAGGATATTCGGTCTTCCGCTGGAATGCCTAACCACTGGGCCGGTATCCATTTGTGGTAATGTCGAACTCTGATCAATCTAGAGATTTCGCACGACCTCACCCATTTGTCTTTGGTAGTTACAGCCTACACCCGACAAGGTTGAACGCCACTGGTCACGTCTTCTCACAAAAACCCCAAGAATTTCCTTACGAAACTAGTCACCAGTGAACACATTGTATGATTTTTCCAGTTACAGTTATGGATGCGCACTACTGACGATTCCTATACCAGGACGAAACGGCCGTCCAATGCTTCCAGGTTTCTAATTGTGGTCTAACAATGGTTCATTCATGATTTCATTGTGTAAAAACACGAATCTCCATAACTCCAATTGAAACAATAAACTCTGCTGAAACCTATGATCTGGCAACAGATCTACATGTAAAAAATCAGAGTTCACGATAAAGATTTTGTCTCGGAAACGGTACTATTATTACAAAAAAAGTATACAAAGTAGTTACAAAATTTGATTTATGAGTTAAAAAGAGTATAAAATACGCCAGTATATAAAGAAGGAAAAGGCTTTTAGAATAATCATTTAGAAATTATTGAAGCTATACGACAATATGAATGAAAGCTAGTAGCCATCACTTAAATCAACTAGGATTCAACAATCAAAACGGTAACTTAGAGCAAACAGTATAGCAACTGTTACGTCTAATCAAAGATTCAATGAATGCACGGAGATTTAAAGCAATAATTTCAGGAGTTCATACATTAAAATTAAGAAATATTACAAATTTCCTTAAATACCTGTGGGTACTGCAAAAGAAGAATACGCTTCATCCTTGAAATAGCGAAAAATCAAACGAACTACTGAATATTATTCAGTAGTATAATCAACACATCATCGAATACGAAGAAATGAAGTCTTAGCATGTATGTAGAATCAATACTTAACAATGATCAAACCGAAAATTTGGCTACGTCTTGTAAAAAATACATTTGTCCGTATCAAAAAGAATCATCTATCTAGTAATCACAATTTGATCAACAGGATCTTCAATGACATAAAGTCCATCCATATTAGAAACAGAATCAGACAGCAAACTACTAAATGTTATCTACCATGTTCTCCTTTGAAAGCTACAGTGGTAAAAGATATCTGTCTAAAATTCTATATATGATACCACCATAATAATGAGCACAGAGTATCAGTTGTAAAATATTTTCATAGTAAGATTTGAGTCACTGAATCTACTTCATATATATAGTCATGCCAGACAGACAGATGCAACGTAGAACTTCGTACGTAAGTATATCAGTTCAGGTTGCCATACCACATCAGCACAGAGATATAATTGTCAATTCAAATGCCATAGTGATAGAGATAATAGAGGTATTAATGGTAATGAAGAAGACTAGGGTTCGAAGATATTATTCAAGAAGTATGATTCAATGAGATAAGTTTAGAAAGTAAAAACTAGAGGTATTGAAGAACCCAGAAGATTAGGATTTGTCAGTCAGTCAGTAACTCAGTTGCAACGTAGAACTTCGTACGTATGTACATAAGTTCATGTTGCCATACCACATTAGCACATAGACGCAAATGTCAAATCAAATCCCATAGTGATAAAGATAGTAGAGGTATTAATAGTAATGAAGAAGACTAGGGTTAGAAGATATTATTCAAGAAGTAAAATTAAGTGAAATAAGGTTAGAAATAAAAAAGGTAGATGTGCTTACGATTCCAGAAGATTTTGGATTTGAGAGAGCTCAACGAATGGATGCACTTACGCCATTGCCAACGATTTTGAGCCACGTCGTTCAACGTCTCTAGCCATATAAACACAACTTAAATACTAACAGTTAAATAAGAAACGTATTTTTGGTTTCACGCAGTTCAAGCATTCATTTAATAAGACATTAGATAATCATAGATATCGACATTGCTGTCTCATCATAGTCTTGACATTTGTCGTGTTATAGTGACATTGTATTAAGTACAAGTAAGTGAAGCAAACAGACATATCATATGTACGCGTACTCACACACATAAAAACACTCAAGGTTATAGGTGATTAATTGACAAGGTCACTATGTACCTGATCAGGCTACAATAAGATATTATTTAATAGATAAAATATAAACTCAATTTGAAATATAACAAAGACTGTTGCATATTCAAGCACAATTAAGCTAGTTTCATCATGCTATATTCCTAAACTTTCTCTCTCTTAATTTTTCTTTCTAACGTATATTTTATTGTATTTTCATTTCTTGACAAATCAAATTTCCTCCGCAGATATTAACTTGTCTACGTAATGATGGATGCTTATTAGGTGTAATGCCAGCTATGGATACATTATATGAATTACGTGTATCGTTACAATTAGCTGAATTAGAAAGATTAGGTGGTATCTCATCACATATTAGTCCATTTGTTGATAGTGTAGATATGGCTGATTTATTGCAATGTGCTGGATTTAATTTAATCACTTTGGTAAGTGAATGATCATGTTGGTGTTATTATTATTATCATTACTTACTTATTTATTTACGCCTGTTACCTCCAAAGAAGCATAGGCCGCCCACCAGCAGCATTCTCCAACCAACTCTGTCATGGGCTTCCCTCTCCAGTTCTGTCTAATGTTTGTTCATTCTTCTCATATCTTTCTCTATTTGTTAGCGTAACGTGTTCCTTGGCCTTCCTCTTTTCCTTTTACCTTGAGGGTTCCATGTGAGGGCTTGTCTTGTGATGCAGTTAGGTGCTTTCCGCAGTATGTGTGTCCTATCCACTTCCACCGCTTCTTCCTAATTTCCTCCTCCACTGGAATCTGGTTTGTTCTCTCCCACAGTACGTGTGTTGCTAATGGTGTCTGGCTAACGATTACGAAATATTTTGCGTAGACAGCTGTTAATAAATACTTGTATCTTCTGGATGATGGCTTTGGTAGTTCTCCAAGTTTCCGCTCCATACAGTAGAACTGTCTTCACATTTGTATTGAAAATCCTGATTTCGGTTTTGATTGAAAGTTGTTTGGAGTTCCAGATATTTTTCAACTGTAGAAATGCAGCCCTCGCTCTGCCGATATTATTATTAGTAGTAGTAATGTGTTTTTTTTTCTTATTGAGCATTGGTTCCTGTTCGGATTATTGATTATTTCCGTTTCGAAATTAAGTTCGAATATGTTTTTGTTTGCTTGGTGACACTTCCCGGAACATAGACACACATTTAGGCGTACTAAAATAGTTGTCTTCCTGGACCTAAAAGCGGCATTTGACTCTGTGGATCGTGAGGTTCTGTGGCAGTGTCTGTCATTAAAAGGTGTACAAAAGAAGTACATTAACCTTATATAAGCTGTCTACTCGAACACCACTGGTCGAGTGAGAGCTTATGGCGAACTGTCAACGGAATTATTTACTTCAAGTGGTGTTCGTTAGAGATGTCCACTTTCTCCATCCTTGTTTAATTTTATCATAGACATGATCCTAGAAATTACCTTATCCTCGTCTGAATTTTCAGAGGTAGACCTTCTACCAGGTGGCTCGCTTATCGACTTAGAATATGCCGATGACATTGTCCTACTTGGTGAAGACACTGACAAAATGCATAGTCTTCTGTTTACCCTGAGCAACAATGCAAGCATGTTCGGGATGCGGTTTTCCCCCTCGAAATGCAAAATGTTGCTTCTAGATTGGGTGTCATCGGGACCTGAACTAGTGATAGGGAGTGAAGTGGTCGAACGTGTAGACCACTTCACTTATCTTGGGAGTCTCATCAGTGCTGATGGCCTGGTGACTGACGAAATCTCAGCTGGGATACAGAAGGCTCGTTTGGCTTTTGCCAACCTGCATCACCTATGGCGCAGGTGAGATATCCACTCGCTAACCAAAGGACGAGTGTACTGTGCAGTAGTTCGCTCCGTCTATTATACGGATGCGAAACATGGCCGTTAAGAGTAGAGGACTTTCGTAGGTTACTAGTCTTCGATCATCGATGTCTCCGAAGCATTGCTCCTGTATCGTGGGACAACCGTATAAGCAATCCTGTCGTTAGGAAACGAGTTCTAGGTAGGGATGGCAAATCAATAGATGAAGTTGTGAAACTTCATCAGTTGAGGTGGTTGGGACATGGTTACGTATGCCTAACCACCGACTGCCGCGACGAGCTATGTTTTGTGGGGTATGAGTAGGTTGGAAGAAAGCTATGGACGGCCAAACCAAAACATGGCACAAATCCATGAAGTCACTGCCAAGTGGACTGAGCCATGTCGGTAATTGTCGACTACCTGGTTGGGGTCCGCGAGACGATAGTCACCGATGGTTAGAGACCTTGAACGACATCGCTGAGAATGGTTTGCAATGGCGCAGGTGCATCCTCTCTTTGTGTTCTCTCTAATTTTGACCTTCTGAATTCCTCATCATCTCTACCTTTCTCCTTCTACATTTATCTTACTGAATTATACTTCCCGAATCATATCTTCGCTCCCTGATCTTCTCCATTATTGTTAATACTTCTACTATTACTATCACTCTTGGATTTGAACTGACAGTTGCGTCTGTGTGCTGATGTGGTATGGCAACCTGAACTGATTTACTTACGTACGAAGTTCTGCGTTGTATCTGTCTGTCTGTCTTGCGATACTATTTTACCAAATTTAGAGTCTAAAATGTTTATTTCATCTAATTTGAGATTCGTCAGCTGAATGTACTTGAATTCCAGTATCAACGTTTACAGTATAATTTGAACTTGGTGTGCCTTTCTTTTTAAATTCTTTAACTTGTTATCCACTGCGCTACTGTATCCACATAGATAGTCTGCACAGGATGTAAATTTCCGTACAAAGATCGACTAAGATTCAGTGTTCAATTTCAACTACGGGATAAATCAAAACTTGACTGATAATAAGATAGGCGCGAATGCATGCTTTTGGCTTTAATTTATACTTTTTACTTGAGAGCTAGCTATAATACCTGACTGCTGTCGAACTTACCTACTTAAGCCGGTTATCCTTAACTGAGCATAGACCACCGACCAGTGAGCTATTTTTCTGGTTAGCGTTCTTTTTAGCGTGTTCCACTTCTACAGGAAGAAGTCGCTAACCTCATGCCCGACCCTCCTGCTTTATCCAGTCTTTGAACCGGCAGTAACCCCAGAAGGACATTAGGCAGAGTTCTGACTGTCAAAACTGAGTTCGAAACTATGACTGACTTATCTCTCACTTGTGGGATTCTATTTTCATTTGTTTCACACATACTTAATCTCTTATTTTTTTTTTCTTCTAGGATATTGATGAAATGGTCATTCATTATCCAGATATATTTGCATTAATGAATGATTTACGATTTATGGGTGAATCTAATGCTACCATACATCGTCCATTACGTTTAAATCGTGATGTCCTGCTTGCAGCGTCTGCAATTTACAATGGTAAATAATAATAATAATAATGATAGTATTATTATTATTATGATTATGATTGATGGTCTATTTGTATTGTACGGTATTGTTCAAATGAAATATTCAAAGCTCATATTTAACATTGATAAGATATAATAGAGTTCTTCTTTTGTTTAAATTGTAAACTGTATATAATTTGATCATAGATTTCTTGTGAATTTAACGATATCTCTTGTATAAGAGTTATTTATTATGAATTTGGGAATTCAAGATCCAGATTTTATCTTATAAAGGGACAAACAGACAGACAGATACAACGCAGAACTTCGTACGTAAGTAAATCAGTTCAGGTTGCCATACCACATCAGCACACAGACGCAACTGTCAGTTCAAATCCAAGAGTGATAGTGATAGTAGAAGTATTAGCAATCAATAATGGAGAAGATTAGGGAGCGAAGATATGATTCGAGAAGTATAATTCAGTGAGATAAATTTAGAAGGAGAAAGGTAGAGATTATGAGGAATTCAGAAGGTTAGAACTAGAGCGAACACAAAGAGTGGATGCACTTGCGCCATTGCAAACGATTTTCAGCGATGTCGTTCAAGGTCTCTAACCATTGGTGACTTTCGTCTCGAGGAGCCCAATCAGGTAGCCTACATCTAGCAACATGACTTAGTCCACTTGTGAGTGACTTCATGGATTTGTGCCATGTTTTGGTTTGGCCGTCCATAGCTTTCTTCCAACCTACTCATACACCACAAAACATAGCTCGTCGCGGCAGTCGGTGGTTAGCCATACGTTACACATGTCTCAACCACCTCAACTGATGAAGTTTCACAACTTCATCTATTGATTTGCCATCCCTACCTAGAACTCGTTTCCTAACGACAGCATTTCTTGTACGGTTGTCCCAGGATACACACGCAATGCTTCGGAGACATCGATGATCGAAGACTAGTAACCTACGAATATCTTCTACTCTTAACGGCCAAGCCTCGCATACGTACAGTAGGACGGGGCGAACTGCTGCACAGTACACTCGTCCTTTGGTTAGCGAGCGGATATCTCACCTACGCCATAGGTGATGCAGGTTGGCTTTTGTCAACCTTATAAAGGGAATCGACAACAGAAATATTTACTCCGGTATTTAAAGTATGATCAATTTGTAAATGTCGGCAATATTTCAGTGTTTATTCAGTTAGTTAGTTTATATATCAACTAACACTAATCGAATACAGTTCTGTAAATAGCAGTACTCACTAAACTGTCTACCGTAATACACTGACCCAATATAAAAATTCTAGCTACAATTGTTGGTGAATTTTTGTGCTGTGAATTTATCTCCATAAAATTTCAAGAGTTAAGTAGACAATAGTATATTCGGAATAAAAAATTGCCCACGAATCGGAATACCTCTCCATTTTTATAGAGTTTTGTATAACTCCACTTAGCACCATGTTATCATGAACTAATGTAGATGATTATCAATATATGGTTCTGCTGAGAAACCCTGATTCCAAACCTATGATGCACATGGGCTTCAGAATCCTGAGAGAATAAATGGTGTACATACCTGTTATTGGTCACCGGTTACCACAGAACTGCATCTCCTAGCGTTGCTCCATCGCCCTATGGATAAAACCTGTAGGTCAAAAGTTTGAGGACTGACTACATAATAAAACTACTTACTTCAGTTTGGGCACCCCGATAGTATATAAGCCCACTCACAAATTGATTGATTTGTGGCGTATAAATATATTTAGGTGCCTTATTGTACCTACGCTCACATGCTTTTAAATAATAACAATTATAAACTTCAATAGATATGTATGTATACATTAGTACTTCTATCTAACTCCTTTTTCTAGAGAAATTCAGTGTTCCTCGTGAAGATAAAGAAAATGAACGTTGTATTCCAGCAACCTATCGACTATTAT